AGGCATATAAAAGACTCCTTATAAACATACATCAAAATGAACACTGCGTAACTTACGAACTAAAACTTCGACCAAATTAGACAATGTAATGAATCAATGCAAATAAGAATATATTTCTCTCATGAAAAAACAGTTTTTTTTTTTTTTTTTAATATAATATATACCTTTTGTATTAATGTCTATATCAAAAAAGTCAGGTTTTTTCTCAAACTTCAAAGAGAGCTGAATAAAAATCATCACAATTTTAAAAATGAAGTATTTTACTTAATAAAATAATGGCATCTCTAGTGTCTAAATCAAAAATACTAAAGTTCGAACGTTATGGAAGATCCTATTTAGGATTGAAGTATCTTTCACCAGTAAAATCTGGATAAACGGTACTTTTATAAAATAAAAAACAAAGTAGTATGAATACGTAAATAGACGTAGAGGTTATAAGGAAAATAATCGAAAGGTTTACAAGCAAGCTTTCGAAATCATCGCGACTGGGAATCGATCATTCCATAAATACATTTATCATTAAAGCTTAAGGTCTAAATTCCTTTGGCTTTAAGATTTTAGTGAATCTGTTCCTAAAATGTGTCAACTAAAGAGTTTTCGAGCGAAACTCGCATGGCGATTTCGAGTCGACTTTAGGCCGAAATCACGGAATACCCACAAATGGTAAAAATCCCCGTAAAAGTTCGACTGTCAACGTACCCAGTACTTTAGCCCCGTACTCAAAAGAAATTGCAAATCGAGTATTAGAAACTCGCGACGGCCGTAACGAGTACTAGTTACTAAATTGTTTTTTTTTTTTTAAACCAAAACATAACAAGGTTGCGCTAAATAAGGGCTTCGCCTTACCAATACGTTGAAATTACCTTGGACCGATATCTTTTCGCGTAGCGGTATTTAGCTTTGACGTTAATTCTACGCACGAAATCAGACGTTATTATACAGGGAGGCCTTTTTAAGTGTATCCATTTTTTTTTTTATTAAATTCTAGATATAAATAATGTTATAAAAAAATTATAAATGTTTAAAATCACTCGTAATTAATTAAATACATTCACTTGAACTTATCTCAAAAAGTGCGTGTTTTATGTGCAACTCATTTATTTTACGCGCGATCATTCATAACTAACACGCGCACAAGTTCGTTTCAAAAGTATACGACGCAATTTTTGAATGACTACCGGCATTGTCGACAAGTTCTGTTTTTTCAAAAAAAAAAAAAACCGTTTGTTTTTATTTCAATAAACGACTGTACTACCAAGTCTGAACCTCCTGTGTGAATTTGGGCACCTTTAGAAAAGCCACCCTGTATATGAGACTAACATCTAATCAAAATACGTGACTGGCGAACACGTGCAGAAAAATGTTAAACATAACTCCATCGGGCATGGTCGGGGTAACGTGAGCGGTTTACGAAGCGACGTTTCGCAAGATACAGGGTGATTCTTTATTCATACTCATTAACACTATACACGAACGACTAAGTAAAGCATTACGATTTGTGCTTGACCCTCACTTGACCCCCTCTAAACCTCCTATTCCTCTCCCCCACGCTAACGCAACACGCAACAAAGTCAACAACAACATGGAAATATAAAATACACCGTTACAATTGCACCTACCACTCCTTAGATTCCCGAACTACAATCAAACATTGCCTAACATCCAAACTGAACATAAAAGGGGATGAGTCGACGACTTTATCGCCAGCGTTAAGTACGTTCGAGTGTCCAAGCACAGAGGACCAAACTGGAGGACAGATTGTCTAAATTAAAAAAAAATAGAAAGCGAAGGTGTCATTCGAAATGTCCAATATGCGAAGTGCTTCCAAAGAGTTTGCACTAAACAATAAGTTATTGGCGATGGGTCCAGTGCCTTATGAATTTATTTAATCGTAAATTATAGAAAGTTTGTTTAAAATTTAAGCATAGTTAGTTGATGATCTCTGGCAGTTAAGGCTATTAAAAACTCTGAAGTACATTGAAAACACTGACCGCGTGCGAAAAATCAACAATAAAAAACCTAGTATTCTTTCATACCAGTATGCATCATACCGTAAAAATATACAAAAAAAATGTTACACATAAAACGTAACAAACAATCTTTGGTTATCAAATTAATACTTACTATTAAACACTAACAAACAGCAAGCGAGACATAAGTCTGTGCGCAATTAACATGTATTATGCTCTTAGACAAAAATAAATATGAAATATGTACAAGATACAAGAACGCAGACAAAAATTTCATAATGTTTTAATGTCATAAATAAACGTGTCGAAAAAGCAATAACCGAAATAAAAACGATAAAAATTGTAAATTTTCAATCATATATAGCTCTACGAAATATACGTGTTGTTGTTGACAGAAAAACAAATTAAAAATAAGTCACAACATATTTTGTACTTACAGTACTCGATATAAAGCAAAAAAATGAAAAAAAAATTAAGATCTAACAAGTTAAAACCTAAACATGACATTAGACATCAACAAGTGACAGCTGTCAAAGAGTCTATGTTGTAAACGAAGTGACTAATACGAGTAGAGGCCATTAATCAAAGAAGAAGAAGAAGAAGAAGAAGAAGAAGAACTAATACGAGTTTCGCGAGTGCATCATAAAAAAACTCGACCCACATAAAACCTTTTCCCATTAACTTATTGGCACCACGTATTATAGTACTGGCCGTATATGGTAAAATTAAAAAAAAAGCAGAAGCGGTTCAACTTTGACAGCTGTCAATTTACATCAAAGGCGCAATGTCACGCTTAAAATCATTGATGGGAACAAACTTAAACTGAGTATTAGATATTAAATGCTTTGCAACAATAAATTACTATTAAATCGTACAACGCAAGACTAGAAGCGTGATAGACATAATTATAACTAAAAACAGACTACGTAACTAAACACCGACACAAACACCGTTTTCCGTGACTAACTTTGTGCTCCTTACTTGTTATTTTAAAGCACCGTTTGTTACCGGCAACAAAACATATCTACGGCAGCCATCTCAAAACAATATTAACAAATAAACAGTGTACCTTCCAATAAATATTATCGGGTACATGTCACAAACCTATCGGGATCTATATTATCGGGACATGATCACATTCTTCAAAATCTGTGTATAATGTATATTATATCATGATGATATATGATCTAAAATATTATGGCGGGTAGAAAAGAATCTTTGATTGTGATAAAAATAATTTCTCTTAGTTGGGACTTAGAAATAAATTAAAACCTATATGGGATAATAAAAGAAGTGACTCAGACACCAGAGATTGTTTTTTTTCTTCTTAATAAATACTGCTTAGCATGGCACCACTTTCTTTTGGTGAAAGATCATCATGAATCAGATCGTTAGATCAGATCTACGTGCTTGTTTCTTAGAGGATTCGAGACACTGTAGGAGGAAATGAATGGACCAAATCATATCGCCGTAGACGCGTCCATTACAGATTGCACGATCACCTAAGACCACTAAGAACTTGTACTACATAATTTAATCCTATGCTAGGTTACCAAGCTACGAAACTAATTACGGCGAAATAACGGGGAAACCATAACCGTTGAAGGGTGCGCAGCGACACCTACCCTACCTCCCCCCCCCCCCCTCCTTACCTGAACCCTCTACGCACAAACACACGCGATGGCAACACTGCACGCACACGAAACACACAAGAACAACACTACAACGAATGGGGTTTACCGACTCCGCCCACCGTCGCCCCGTGACGCGTGTGTCGCCAGCCGCACGTGAAATTCGCCGAAATTGCCATGCGAAAAAAATAAATAATTAAATAATAGAACTGGCGACACAGCGCGTCGATCGGGTTCACGTCCGAACGATGCTTTAATATTTTATATCCTCCTCTCAATATTTACAACAATCAATATAATTGCTCTAACCTCATTTTTTTTAATATTACCATTACATTATTATTATTATAAGGAAAATTTCAAGGGAAAATATATTCATTATCAACAAGCTTGTCTCGTTTTTTTTTTTTAGATTTTTTTCTTAATATATATCTTTTTTTCATAAAATTTCGCGTGAAATTACTTGAACTCCCCTTTCCCCAGCGCCAAACAGCCCATACATTTATAACCTTGCATTAAATCGCGATAAAAGTTTCAACAAAACGTATAACACTCCATATTATCTCACCTGTGTTGCCACAAAACAGCTGTAAAACGTTACTGTACCGTAAATATATAAAAGCTTCGTGTTTGCGTCCATAGTGAACTACGCGTATCGTAGCCTACCACACATAGCAGTCTGGTGCTTGGTAAAATACAACAAACATTGGCTGGTGTATTTTTGGACAGAATCTCATAAGAAAACAACATGTACAAAGTAAATATCGTTAGTCCTTTTGGCAATATCCTTTATAATCTGTAATTGGTTAACATCGCCGCTACATGCGTGAACCGGCGCTTTCTAACACCTCGCGATGGAAGAGTGAGAGAATGAAACGCTCCCTTCCATTCTCCCACCCGGTAAGTGATCACGACACCTAGCTCCATCAAAGGCATAGCTTATCGACATAAGGTCACGTAAGAACAAACAATCTATTCGACAAACAGCTCTATCGTTATTAGAAAAGAAGGCACAGAATCCTACAACGAAGCTAACCTACTTCGATTATACTACGCAATGATCGAACGAGACAATATCCATTACCATTACGATGTTATTAAACAATAATAATAAACATCCAACAAACATAATGCGATATCGGTAAATATTATTTTACTAAGGTAATGCAATATGCCTTAACATTATAAGTTTCATATGAACACTGGATATATTATCTATGCGAGTTGCATGGGGAGGGTGACAATGTTCAATAAGCGGATGCCTTTAGTGTTGCTAGCGTACGAGTCGATGGCATTGAGTGTGAACGTGCGATACAAGTTTTATTGATACAAGTCAGATTTGACAGATGTCGAACTCGACGTGTGTCATGTGTGACGGATGTCAGAAGTGACAAGTTCACGTGTAGGGCCGCGTGCGAATCGGCAATTCGATAGGCGGTCGGGCCATTTGTACCGCTTCGTGATTCACGACCGCACCGCGTGGCTTATGACTAAACGGCGAACGAGTAGAAGTGCTCACTCTCTTCTCTTCTCCGCTCTCCCGTTTCCCACCGGCCGTTCGCGACGCCCGGGCCCTAATACGATAGCTTATCTAAATTACACTAGGGAACGCGCGGATCGAGCTCCGATGAAACAGAGTTAAAAAAATACAAAACCACAGACGAACGGAGAGGAAAATAATACTTCGATCCGTCGGCGTCGTTAATACCGCGCAGAGGGGCTCCCCCGAGTGATTCGAAAAGAGAATACAATAAAATACTCGAAGGGAGGTCTGCCCCCACGTTGACTAGAGAGCGGTCGGCGTCGCGCGTTGGGTGGGCAGGGGCCCGCAGGGGTTGTGCCCGCAGGGGTTGTGCCCGCAGGGGTTGTGCCCGCAGGGGTTGTGCCCGCAGGGGTTGTGCCCGCGGGGGTTTTTGCCCGCGGGTATTTTGCCTGCGGAGGGTTCTTGCCCGCGGGAGGTTTTGCCTGCGGGGGTTTGTTTCCGCGGGGATGGCCCACGGCGTAGGGCCCGCGGTGGTGGGTCGACGGGCGCCACCATGCTCAGGCCACCGGCGTCTTGTCCTGGCCTGGCGTCGGGTTGAAGTCCTTGTTCACGAAGGAGAAGCCCCTGAACTCCTCCTGCAACCAAAGGAACACCAGTCGATCTCTTTGTACAAAAGCTGTTCTGTTTTTAACCGACTTCGAAAAAGGAGGAGGGTCTCAATTCGGTTATGTTTGTTACCTCCGTCATTTATGAACCGATTTTATAAATTCTTTTTGCAATCGGTTTGTAATATCTCCCATATGGTTCGTATCACTGATTGGTATTGGACCTTGGACTCAGGAGATCAGAGAACTCCACAAAATCAGAAAATGTAGAGAAATGTAGAGAAAATGTTGAATTTAACTTTGATTTTTATTTACAAAAATGTACTGCTATCCGGCTTTGACGATCTGATGGTAAGGAGAGAAAAAGAATTAAATTTTAGACATCATCATCCCATAATGGCCTAACCGATTTTTGTATGATGACACAAACATTGACAAATTGTAATATATCATGTATCAAATGCTGTTCTAAATTTTGACATTAGATATTAAAATCCCCGGCTGCAAGTTAACAGGACATTTGTTAAAGTGAACATAAGAAGAAATACTGTGGTACCCTTAAAGTGCTAAACTTGGTCCGTAATCTTCTGCGTGCTGTGTCCGATGAAATTTTACATAGTCCTTGAAATTGATAAAAAAAACATCATCCACCATAGTAAAGTTGTGAGATTATTCCCTGAAAATATCCCCAGGCAAAAGGCAAAATGATCCCCTGGATCTGGTTGCAGTGCATGAACAAAGCTGGGCCACAACAGAGGGTTTTAGAGAGCAATAAAAACCATACACAATCATCACGGTCCATCTCTTTGCCTACCGTCACAGGACCTTGAGATGACGTCGGAGACATGTCATAAGACTCATGCGACATGTACCAAAACTGTATGTATAATAATGAATAATGTACGTAGAGCCGAACCGTTCATACTAATAACTGGGAAAAATTTGGTAGTCTATAATCCTGTCTCTATTGATCTAACATAATTAATAACAGTTCGAGGAAAGAGCTACATAGTAGGAGCTGCGTATTGTCAACGCCTATAACATTTGAGGATTTCCCTCGATTTCTCTGAAATGCCATCATCAGATCTGGGTTTCCTATCACCAGGGTACCCTTGGGATATCTCGTTTCCAACAAGAAAACCACCCTTGGGATATCTCCTTTCCAACAAAAAAAGAATCATCAAAATCGGTTCATAAATGACGAAGTTATCCTCGAACACACATAAAATATATAGATATATATACGGTCGAATTGAGAAACCTCCTCCTTCTTTGAAGTCGGTTAAAACAGCTTAATCAAAGAGCTGCTTGTTTAGGGTTGCGCGCGTAGTATCCCGGCTACCGTCGTCCATATGGTCATTGACACCGAGGGTCGACCGTGTGGCCACTGGAAGCCGAGAATGTATCCCCGCCGCGTGCGCCGCCGACTGTACCTGGTTGATCGCGCGCACCACGTCCGGCGGCACCGGCGTCAGCACGGGCTCCTCCTTCGTGAACTCCGCGTCGAAGTTGGCCGCCTCGCGCTTGCTCTTCTGCGGACACAAATGGGCACACGTCATTTATTTATTTATTTAAAAACTTTGTGCACAATAACGTACAATGGCGGACTTAACACCATTAAGTGTTCTCTAACAGTCGACCGTCAAAAAAGCAGAGGGTATAAGTCACCCGAAAGGTCCCCTTTTTGTTTGAAATTTCTTCCTTTGTTTTAATACTATTAACGGTGTTAGGGGCGCAACAGTTTTTCACTGTTGCTCGAATGGACAGGTCCGTCCGAGGAAGTACCACGACCTCACTGAAGACCGGCGTGAAGTGGAAATGTTAAACGGCTGCGTGATCCTCGTCTGGTGAATGAGGCAGACAGGGCCCACTTCATTTTAATGCATCTGCAACCTTACGGGTGTCGTCCATGGGCGGCGGTTATCGCTTAACATCGGGTGAACGGCCAGCTAAGGCTGCAATCTTCTCACATAAAAAAAAAATCACGATACGCTTATACGCATACAGTACAAGTGTTCCGAAGAGCGTTTCTCTCGCGGAACACTGGTCAGCGTTTCACCCAAGGCAAGTGTGGGCCACCCGGTGGGCACCGGCCAAGGAGAACCGGGATCCAACTCACGACTTTGGGGCGGAAGGGCGGGCGCAGGCGGCGCTGCGCCAGCGCGTCCCAATCCATGTCGCGGAAGAAGGCGTGCGCGCGGATGCCGGCCGCGCCGCCCGCCACGCCCAGCCGCCGCGACGGGCTCTTCGTCATGAAGCCTGCCGAAATTCACACAGTCATCATCGTTATCATCATTATCATCATTATTATCATTATCATCACTATCACCATTATCATCATTATTATAATTATCATCATTATTATCATTATCATCACTATCACCATTATCATCATTATTATAATTATCATCACTATCACCATTATCATCATTATTATAATTATCATCATTATTATCATTATCATCATTGTCATCATTGTCATCATTATTATAATTATCATCATTATCATCATTATTATCATTATCATCATTGTCATCATTGTTTGTTTTCTCGTCTGGTTGGATTTATAATAGATATTACTGAGCATATCCCGACGGATATATATTGCATGTATTATAATTAAATATAAACATTGATCATCAATCTATCTACTAATATCATTATTATCATCATTTCAGCCTGTTCTAGTTCACCGCTGAACTAGGCATATCAACGCTCCGCCGCGAAGCACGATCCTCAATCGCCTGCATCCATCGACTTGCCGCACACTCGCACAGGTAGTCACTCCATCTGGCGTGAGTCCGACACTACGATTGCCAATACGTGCCCAGTGTACTTTTTTGTTTAATTAAAATTTTGCCCTTACTTTAGCATAACAGTAACACGTGTAGTAAGGACGTTTTACAAACATAAATTACACGCGCACAAACGCCCAGATGCTAAAAAACTACCCGTCGGTGCACAAATAGCTGTACCGTGTGGGGATCGAACCCGCGGCCCCGGACGCCGAAGCCGGTACCTCGGCGACTGCGCTCAAAATCATCAGTCTTTTTCACGTTAAAAAAAAGAGCATTTTCTTAAAGGCAAAACATTTTAGACGGTGGTATTATTCTGGTGAGTGAGATAGCCGGGGCCCGGTCCACTTTATTGAGAGGTGACAGCGCATCCGCAACCTTAGGGGGGGGTTGCAAATGTCCATGGGGAGCGGTTATCGCTTGACTTGAGGTGTACCGCCCCCCCTCTTGGCATCCTTGCTCCCTCTGCGCAAAAAGAAAAGAGTCCCTCACCCTTGAGTATGGAGACGGCGTCCTTGGAGAGCCACACCGGGTAGAGAACGTCGTCGTGCAGGATGCTCTCGAAGAGGTCGTCCTCGTTGTCCGCCTCGAAGGGCGGCTGCCCGGCGAGCATCTCGTACAGCAGCACGCCCAGCGCCCACCAGTCCACCGACGGCCCGTACTCCAGCTCCTGCAGGATCTGCGGGGGGGGGGGGGGGGGGGGGGGGGAATAGGTAAAGCATAGGCCTATGCGTGTCCCACTGCTGGGCAAAGGCTTCCTCTGTATAAGATGTGAAGGGAAAAATCAGTGAAGTAACGCCTTATACATGTCCCACTGTTGGACAGAGACCTCCGGACGGACGGTGTTAGGGCTCAGTCCGCCACGCGACCCCGCTGCGGATTGGCGGGCTTCAATGCAATGTATTATACATGTAATTAAAGTCAAAGTCAAATATCTTTATTCAATATAGTCAAAAAACTCTAGCACCGTTCCGGAAGGAAAGCCTGACCTGAGAAGAACCAGCGTAAGAAACTCAGCGGGACATTTTTTTTTTTGCCAAAAAAATTACGAATATTTGTATACAATCTATTTATATATATAGACCTTCCTCATAAATTACTTTATCTTGTAAAAAAACCGCATCAAGATCCGTTGCGTAGTTTTAAAGATCTAAGCATACATAGGGACAGACAGACAGCGGGATGACTTTGTTTTATACTATGTATCAATAATATAAATATTCTTTTTTGTTATTATTTTCTCTGTACAGAGGGTTTAGGGCACATTGCACCACTGCAGATTGGAGGGCTTTTTCCTTAACCGCTGAGCAAGTTATAATTCAGCACCTAACAATTTCATCTGTGCCAGTCCTGGCATCGGGTTTAGGAATCAAGTTGGTCAAGTAAATTGGGATAAAAGCGTACGTCCGGACACTGAGCTATCGCGCAGAGAAAAAGGCCAAAATAGCGACGAAAAAACAGAGGCATTTTTGCTTAGACCACACCAATTCCCGTTTTCACCATTGTACCTTCAAACGCTCCCTTACTAAGGGTAACCCAAGGGATTCCCTAAATCAGACCGTCACCTAAACTCATTTTCACCAATAGCAAGGAGACAGGTCTTTAATCAGTTTTAAGTTTTAACACACGAACATGAGTACACAATAATAGAGTGTAAAAAATGTCGCATGTTTTTTTTTTTGCTGACACTACATTTTTAAATTTATATGTTGTATAATGTTATATTCTTAAAACTTTAATTATAAAAAGTATAAAGCAAAATCATCTTCAAAAAAAGTATAAAGCAAAACTTGACAGACAAATTATACGATAAAAGAACTTACTGATGTTTAGAACTCAGTTACATATATAATGAGTTTCCTTGCTTCTTCCAGTAAAATTCAATTAAAGTTAATTAACAGCCTATACATATCTCAAAAAGCTACAACAAAACCAGGGCAAAGGGTTCTTACAGAATAAACTATATTATATTATGTATAACGGGGTGAGAAGTTTTCTACTAATTTTAAACGTAACAACATTTATACGAAATAGCTGTTTACGAATTTCGTATAAATATTATCTGAGAGTCGAGTTCTACACGATCTTTTAGCGCAATCAAGGGTTGAACCAGAAGAAAAACTAATTAAGAAGCAAAAGAACGAATCGTTTCAGGACGAGTATCGCTTTTAGGACGAATATTATATTATCTATTACGATGTTAACTTACTTCTGGAGCGATATAATCCGGAGTACCACAGAAAGTGGTGGTTGTTGCGCCATCTGAAAAGTAATGGTATTTAAATATACACTTTTGTTCCCTTCTCTTTGCAAGACTCTCAAAGTCAGTAAAATATTGACATATAAGGTATATAAAATCTGAAAACTACATGGACTAAATAATGAATTTATTTACATTAAGGGTTAATCGTCTTGTACACACGTAACTACCCTAATTAATAGTTCTCTGTATCGTGAACACTGGGGTTCGAAACTTCAGGGAATTGTAAACAAAATTAGACGGAATAATAACCTTTAAATAGTTTTATTTTACTATCACAATCGTACTATACTCAGCTATACAGGCTTGCAAAAAATTATCTCATACCTTTCTCAACAGTTCAGTTTTTATACTTCCAAAATACAGCATTTAACAACCAATCTGCCGTAATGTTGGCAACACAGCTTGATTAATTGCTAAAGAACCACACTTTCTACTTGCAAAAAATTTAGCAATGGAATGGTAATTTCAAAAAATCACGTCAAGAAATCACTTGATCTAGGTTGAAATTGTTTTATCCGATTTAGGCTTGCTTCAATGGACATCAAAATAGAACACTGCGAGTGTTTTCACTGCTTTGTGCTTACCGTTATGTACGGTGGTAATCGAGAATTAACCAGTTGTTTAAAATCGAATTAAATTCTCACTCCCTCCCTATACATTTTTCAATTTGATTTTAATGAGATTAATTGATGACTCCGTGGCGCAGTTGCCAATGTATTGGCCTCAGCGTCGGGGATCGTGGGTTCGATTCCCACTCGGGACAACTATTTGTGTGACCCACAGATAGTTGTTTCGCATCTGGGTGTTTGTCCACGTGAATTTAATCCACGTTTATGTTTGTGAAACGTCCCTACAACACAGGATAATGTTATCCTACCCTACAACACAGGATAATGTTATCCTACCCTACAACACAGGATAATGTTATCCTAAAGGGCAATGTTTTAAAAAAAAACAAAAACAAAATTTAAGCTTACTTAATTTGATTAAAAGGTAAATGAGTTTCTTAATGTGTGATACATGAGACCAATATCAAATGAGAACTTATCTGAAGGCAAATATGTACGTAAATGACAAAGATCAGAGGTGGCAAGCATAAAAGAAAAGAAATACAACCGAATTGACAACCTTTTTTGGGCTCGGATAAAAATAGAAGACTGGCAATAGAGCAGTTCCTTCATACTTTCTCTTTACCTTTTTATCGAATAATATAATAATAATAATAATAAAATATCTTTATTCACATAGACGCTTGCGCGTTCTTATGAAACGTCAAAATTTTACAAAGAAATTAACACGTTCGTAAGTTACCACCGGTTCGGAAAGCAGTTTCTGTAAAGAAGAAACCGGCAAGAAACTCGACAGTTGCTCTTTTTTTTTTAAAAAAATCAAAATAAAGAATGAAACGCACCTAAAATTCCCTCCTTGCACATGCCGAAGTCGGCCAGCTTGCAGTGACCCTCGCTGTCGAGCAGAATGTTATCCAGCTTGAGGTCACGGTAGATCACGCCGTGCGAGTGTAGGAACTGCAACGCCAGCGTCACCTCGGCCGCGTAGAATCTGCGATATAAGCATTTCTTTCAACTTCTCTCACTTTCTCTCTCAATCTCTGTCTCTTCTTGCGGGGTAGGCGAAGACAGTTAATAAAACATTCATTCATGTTTCACCTAGCTCACTTATTGCCTAGTAGTATTGTCTAGTACAAAATAGTGAAGCAGTGAGTTTGTTAGTTGAGCTCAGTCGCGGCATGCGTTTCAGTTTTGGCAATCTCATGTACACAGTAGCTTTACATAAAGTTAGCTTAATATGTGATAACTAAATGATACTTTTCCTCTGTAAATAAACACATATTATACTAATACAGACACTGAAAAAATAATATTTTTCCAGTAGTGAGGATCGAAACCACACCCTCTGGCGCGAGATGCAGGTTCGCTACCCGCTGCGCCAATCGGATCGTCACAGAATATGTTGAAGTAATAGCTGGTGCCCGCGTCTTCGTCCGCGCGGTACTAGCACTTCGAGTACCTTATTTTTATCCCAAGGTCCTAAGTAACATACATCCATACTAAAATTTGCATAAAAAGTACGTAAAGATTGTCGCAGCTGTGGTAATCGAACCCACGTCTTCGTCATTCGCGGCCTGACGCTTTAGCCACGAAGCTAAACGGCCGATTGCCACACCGACGAAAATCTCGGTTCGATTCCCACAGCGGCGACAATATTTTCGTACTCTTTCTGCAAATTTTAATGTCTAATCTTAAGTGCAGAGATTGGCGCAATTAAAATAATATCAAACATCCACACATCGATTGCATACACGCGTTCGCGCTTGTTATACTATTAAAGACAGGCGGCGGCCGCCATCACCTGGCCCTCGGCTCGTCGAACTTTCGCGCGCGCTGTATCTGGAACATGAGGTCGCCGCCGTCCACGTACTCCATGACGAAGAAGAGCCGCTCGCGAGTCTGGAACGCGCAGTGCAGCGCCGTGAGGAACGGGTGGCGCGCGGCGAGAGCTAGCACGCGCCGCTCGGTGAGCGTGCACTCCACGTCGTCGTCCTGTATTATCGCGTCCTTCTTCAGCACCTTCACCGCGTACACCTGCCGAGAGTCGCCGTCACGCCGGTGTAACGAAACAGCGTTATATCGTCTATGTACACGCACACGTACACGTACACGTACACGTACACGTACGCACGAGCCGACACGTACACACGCGCACGTTCGGACACGCACGCACACCAGCACGCACACGCCGCGCACGTGCTCCACGGCGTACATCACTATCGCGAAACCATCGAGACATGATGTAATATGGAAGCTACTTACAGTATGTTGTGAGTCTTGCACCATTTTTAGTCGCTTCAAGCTCATATAAAGCAATATTTATAATACATAAAATATACAGCGCTAGATAATGTGAAGTTTGAGGCAACATGGCGTCGGTTAATGTTATGGTTCGTATTGATTTTAATAAGATTATATTTCGTTATTCATCGATGGAGAGTTATTCCTTTTAATTTTTCCGTATTTCTTGTATTATTCGTGCAATATCTTAACACACCCCATAGTAGTATTTGTTGAGTTACCGCTTTTTTTAATAACAAACACAAACCACTTAAACACTTTGATGGTTAAGAGCTAGCAAGCGACTGAATGAATAGTCGCGCACTCGTCGCGTGTGAACGGCTAGCAATAACGATGAGTAGCGTCTTCTTACATTTTATTTGGATGCACGAAATAGACTTTTTAATACACATACATTATAACACGTACGCAAGCACGCGCACGCACAAAACGCGTGTAAGTGCGTACTCTTTGTTTGTGATAGGGCCTACAACAGTTTTCACTGTTGCACAAATGGGCAGGTCCGTCCGGGTACCACGACCTGACAGAAGATCGGCTTTCGTCTGGTTAGTGAGGCAACCGGTGCCAACTTTATCAAAAGATCTGCAACGCATTTGCAACCCTACGGGCGTTGAAACTGTTCACGGGCGGCGGTTATCGCTTAACATCGGGTGAACCGCCAGCAAGTTTGCCACTTTCACACATAAAAAAAATACGAGCACGTTTACAAGCGTGCGTGCGGTCGCGCAGTTCCGGGACGATTGTTTTTATTTCATATCAAAGCTTACAGTGTGAAACCGCTTGGCGTGTTCTGCGCCACGGAGTCGGCAGAGCATCGGTATCGCGACCCGTAATATCATTTATTTGAACACGTAGACATTATGAATGAACAAAAATCATGGATATTGTGGTGGAGTCACTAATTGGAGTCACAATGAGTCGGTAATTCAGCCTAGGCTAATGACTTCCAAACTTACCCATGGACCCCTCCATCATTTCAACCTTACACATATGATGTTCTCTTACCACGTACTCACGGGTATGGATATAGGACCAATGCGATAAAATCGATTCTAGACCTTCTAGGTTGACGATCGATTGAGTATGGGTGGCGTAATATTGATACGATGAAAAAACAGAAGATAGCGGAAGAAGACAGCAGATGACAGTAAAAGGCAACAGATGACAGATGAAGGCAGATGAAGGACTAAAAGAGCACCACAGGTGCTCAAAATGAATAAGGGGAGAGTTTTAATGTATGCATGCGAATTAAACTACACGGTAATTATTGCTACTCACTTCGTCCGTCCCCTTCTTCTCGGCGAGCATGACCTTTCCGAAGGAACCCTTGCCCAGCACCTTTATGAAGTGGAAGTCCTCCAGGGACACCTTCCCCTGCATGCAGCCCTCGGAACTCTCACCATCACCTACGAACGCGATTAATTACCACACACGGACGTCACCACCACTCTAACTCTACTATGGAACTTGGTCCTTCGGGCCGGATAACAAACATATGTAATGTAGATATCATGTAGTTAAAGTAATTTCGAAATTATTACGATTAGTTTCACATATCCATATTTTATGTTCTATTGTTAACTAAACAGTAACAATTAAATAAAATAACTCGCATTCCATTAAAAATCTCTGAAGATTACTTTCCTAACCCTGAAGAATTAAAGCCGTAAGACAAAGTTCCATATAATTCCCGTTATATATAGCAAGCCCCATCACCGAAGCCAACATACAGGGTGTGGGAACCTTCGTAACAAGTGAATATATCTTCCAGATCGTCCCAATGCGACCGCCATGACGTGTTGTTCTGTTGCGTAACACAGTTATCCCATATGTTCTCTGTGCTATCGGTGCCTGTACGCCACAAACAGATCATAAATAAAATACATTCAAGCGGTCGACTGTCATACGAAACGTTAGCATATAGACGGCAAAACTCCGTGTATTTGTTAAACAATTCAATCATTCATTCAAGGATTATACGAGAGAGATTAAAAAGAAAACAATAAAACACGCACACAACAAACTGAAGTTAATTAATAAACTACCAACATGACAGTCAACGCGAGAAAACACAAAACAAACAAACAAAAAAAGCAACAACCCGCCACCGCAGCAAGCACACGAACTGAAATAGACCTTGGTAACCGCCAAATATATCCTGGAGGTCAGCCCAATGCGAGCCCCACAAGGCGCCGCCGTGCTGGTAACCTAAGGTACGGCAACACAAAACAACACAAGTTGCTAACATGCATAGCTCCTGGCCGTTTCAAGTGAGCTATAATATATTGTATATATAACATATTTCATTGTCAAATAATGATATATAAAACAAAATTGTCCCGCTGAGTTTCCTTCGCAGGTTCTTAGGTCAGTGGCTCTCTTTTTGGAACCAGTATGTAATATTTTGAGAGTCAATAAGTGAGTACTTCTTATATTGAATAATGATTTTTTTTGGTTTTAATTAAAACTATTAATTTGATTTACTATTAATTATAATAGAATAAATAACTTTAAACATCAGAGTGTTTAGTTTACCTCTGTAGATAAATATATTTGTTTGGGTTGAAAGACAGCTCCAAAATAAACTTAAAAGATTTCAATGTGAAAATTCATTAAGTGATAATAACATATTTGTGCAATAACAATAATAAAGGCTAAATTCAAATGCAAAATAAATTTATTTTAAAAGATTTTTGAAGCTTGTTAAGAATAAAATGTAATCATTCTGCTTGGAAATGTATCCAAGCAGAATGATTACATTTTGTCTTAGAAAGTGAACTTTACAACAATGTTTAAAGCTAGAAATATAACAAAAAAAATTAATGAAAACAAAACATTTCTGCCAAATTTTTCATGTTTCAGAGTACAATAATCAAATATTACTTATAACATTTCCACATTTAATATATATAACATTTATGAATAAATTGTTCAACAGTTTGTTGACAATCAAACACGCTTTGGACTATTTTATACTACAATCTAGCTTCTATGGAACAGTCACTTGTACTTTGTGATAGTGTAACTGAAACTAAAAAGTAAACAACAAAGGTATATGATATAATGCAGAGAGATTACTTTTCTGGCAATGTTTTGTTTAGAGGAAAATTAGAACACTGTGGCAAGTACCTTTTTCATCTTGTTTATCGCTGGGATCTTTGCTGTCAGACTCCCCAGAGGACGCAAGTTCTGGTGGACCCTCCAACAGCGCTGTGTTTAAATACTGTCGACAAAAAAAGATGAAATAAGCAATTCTCTCCAAAGGCGCTATGTTTAAATACTGCGGCAAAAAAATGAGATAAGCAATTCCCTCAAGAGCGCTACCCTTTTTCTTTTTAGCATCTAATCTTCACTATCAAATAGGTAAACAAATAGGCTCCCCTACTATAATGTAGATATTCGTTATTTGATTAGGTATATACAGCTTGTCGTTTCAACCGCGACAATAAATGAACACACATGTAGAGGATAACTTTTTAAAATTGTATTAAACATTTACATTCTTAAAACATCAGTAATTACCGCGTTATTAAATTTTCCAAAAGAAACAATTTAAGAACACCCTTCCTTACGTATAAAACTGTAAGGTAAAGTTCGTTTGTAAAGGTCACAAAGCATATGAATGAGATGAATGAAAAAAGACTTGTAACGCGATACTGTGGCAACGAATGAAAAAGTCTCTGAATGTATGAATCAGTCAGTTGCAGTTGTATAGGATGTTACAAATTTTGTTTCTTTTTTATTTAATTAATTTGTTTGAAAAATTTATCTTTTTAATTATAGATTGTTTTAACATTTATATTTTTTTATGATTATTGGCAAGTAGCGTTAGACATGTGTTCATTTATTGTCGCGGTTGTAACGACACGCTGTATAATATGAACGGCATATAAATATTTAGGTTTAGTGGCCGCCTAGCGATCAAAATTGGATCATAATAAATTTTACATGATAGTATGTGTAGTGATTTTTTTTTTACTTCATGTATTTTTATGCATAATTTAATAATAAAATATTAGCATTATGCACTCCTTCTCTATATAAAGTATAAGTGTGGGAAATTTCATACTCTTCCGTCCGCGCGATTTTCGTAAAATGGGGTACAAAGTTTTCGCTTCATGTATTGATTATTTATTGTGTATGCGTATGTATAAATGTATACACATGTATGTATATATGTGTATGTGGGTATAAATTGAATTTATTACCCTATTATTATATGCTTAGTGTTTAACAACTACCATACTACCCTTGTCAGTCTCTTTCTGTTTTATCTATGGTTAGCTGGTAGAGAATACGGTATAGCATTAAGCTCGCCTTTGTACAATTTTAAGTGCAATAAAGAATGAATGCACTATGACCCACCTTGGAGGGCCTGGGCCGCGGATTCTTGTCGGGCGAGATGCCCATCTCGTTCAAAATCTCCGCCATCATCTTCGTGTTGATGCCGCAATTGTTCGCGACGTTCTTCTGGCAGCGCTTGTGAACGTTCATCGAGCAAACTGAGGAGGTCAAATGATCAATAATAAGTAAGTCGACCGAATAGTCTTGATCAAGTACAATTTCTTGAGATCAAATTCTGGATCGTTGGTGTGCGTTAGAACAAGTAACTTAGGCCATTGTTGTTGGGTCGCGAGTCTTCACTGTTGCAAGAATAGCAAGTCCATCCTGGTAACTAGCACAACGTCACAGAAGATCGACGTGAAATCTAAGTGTAATACTTTCTCTTTTCTTTTCTATTTGTCTGGTAAGTGAGTTATTCGGGGTACCACTTTTTAAAAGGTTTCCAACGCATCCACATAATGTTCAGGTGTAACAGATGTCAATAGGGCGGTGGTATTCACTTAACATTAGGTGAACCGCCTGCTCGCTTGGCAACTTTTCACATGAATAAAAATTAATTAAGATACACTGCCGACCCACCTTCGCATTGCAGGCCCTGCTTGATGAGCCCGTAGAGGAGCGAGCCGCAGTGGTCGCAGAACGTGAACCGCTTGTAAGAATGCACCACAAAGCGGTGAGGCACGTTCACGTTGAACCGCTGCCCACTGGACACCGCCACGCCGCTGTGTTGCTGAGAAATAACAGATTTTCATTACTACAATTGAATAATAGTGTTGTATGTTATGGAAACTAAAGTACTTTGAGATCTATTTCTCCTGTTTAGAAAACCAGTCCAACTGAGTCGGTATTTGGTAGGTTTTTTATGATCACTCATATACGGAACAGTTATCTGTGGGTCACACAAGTATTTGTCCCGTGTGGGAATCGAATCCACGACCATCCATTTTGTGTGGAAGGGGTTGGGTAGAAGTCGGTGACATACAAGATCTACCGTAGTCTTCCAACCGAAAACATTGCCTCTTACATATATTTCTTACATACATAAATTCAAGTTGGCAAACACAAAGATCCGAAACAATTGTCTGTGACCCACACAAATAGTTGTCTCGTGTGGCTATCAAACCCACGACCCCCGACGCCGAAGCGCAGAGGAAATTGCGCCACGTAGTCAGAGGATAATGACAGTTATTATAATAATAATGGGCGTTATGAAAACTAAACTAGATTACGAGATCTCTTTCTCCTGCAATTACATAAAAGAGGTGATATTGTCTAGGTTTTTTGACTCTCCTGAAGTCTCCACTGATCTATATATCAATTCAGGGAAGTTAGACATTACTATGGTAGGGTCACGCAACAGTCTTCTCTGTTGCACGAATGGGCAGGTCCGTCCGGGTAAGTACCACAACCTCACAGAAGACCGGCGTGAACTGGTGAAGTGTTATACTTGTGCGTTTCATCTGGTGAGTGAGGTAGCTGGGGTTAAATTTATTATAAGGTGCAAGGTGCCTACGGGTGTTGCAAATGTCAATGAGCGGCGGTCACTTAACATCAGGCGAATCGCGGCTCGTTTGCCACCTTCTCGCATAAAAAATATGGGATTAGTAACAAAGGCAATTTATGTATGTTACAATGGAATTATTGATCAAATATAGCTATTAATAGCTCACCTCTTCTTTCATACCGGGACATTTGGTGACGACGGATGAGTGGCATCGCTTATGCACCACACAAGTACACACTGCGGAGAAAATAAAATGAACATATTTCAAATTACTTATTTAGTTACTATTTTATATTTTTTAAATTGTATCAACAAACGGAAAAATTAACCATGGAAGTATATGCTTACCTTGACACTGGTAACCTTGCTTCCCGAGGCCCCTGAAAAGCGATCACCATGGTTTAAATTAAGCACCTATTACTTTTATCAAATTACTCTCAACTACATCATCACAATTATGCAATTCGCACTATAACATTATCTACATAAAATATTATACTTTTTATGTTATTCACATATCTATTTAAAATTAAATTGAAAACAATTATGCATATTTGATGATTATTATCCTACCTCGAACATTATTTATTTATAAATTTTATACATAAATTAGTACAACAAAATGCCTGTTCATAACTACAATTAATCTTTACAAGTGAACTAACACATAGTTTATCATGAACTTATCGGTTGTCTACATTTATTTCAAAATCCATAACCAGGACCACAAGATGCTGTGCATGGTTGCATCCTTTTGTTGTTGACATTCCACACACTCTTTTGTTGTTTCCATTCCATGCACTCAAACTAAGCGTTATGCGTACAGCAAATGAATGGAACAATTTGCCAGTGACTATCTTTCCGTCCCAACTTAATGTTGCCAAAGCAAAAGTGAATTTCTGTGGCTGCATAGTTACTTAACATCTGGTGGGATAGGTCTTAAGTAAAGGCCCATTTACACGGTGCAAGTTTCTTGCCTGTTATATACAATTAAATTGAAGCAATAAATGAGTTGCATTGTCTAAACAACACAACATTCTTGACTGTTGAACAAGACTTGCTTCAAGTTTTGTTTCAAAACTTTCCTTGGTGTAAACTGCACACACAATAATTTCTTAAGCAATTCTTGTATTCAATTGCATTCTCTTTTCCTTTGTGAAAAATGAAAAAAAAATAGTGCAATGAGTGAGGATAGAAATATTGAGAAAAGGTTGTAAAAAAAGTTGGATAAAAATATGAATAATAATATATGGATCATAATAAATAAATCTCAATGAAATATATTTAATCGGCATAATCTAACTTGAACATTTATTATTGAGCCATTTTTTTAAAAAAACAGCCCTTTGTAAAACGTTCAACACTTGCATGAAAAATTTGTCAACGCAAATACATGCAATACTTGAAGCAACACGCCAATAAATTGTACATGCACATACAAGCATGTGTTTAGACAAGTCAAAACTTGGAAGCAATAATCGCCTAATCATAATTGCATTGGTGTAAACAAAAGACATTTGCAATTATTTCTTGTCAAGACTTGCATACAATAAACGCATTCAATTTTTTTTACTATATCTGCGTGTAAACTGTTGCTTACAATTCTTGATGGTCAATTATTGCGCGCAATTTATTGCATTCAATTATTGCTCTTGTATGTACAAGAAAATGGCATCGTGTAAATGGGTCTTTAGCCACGTAAGAAGTTATGCTTCTCAAGAGTTACAAAAGAAAAATAACTAAATATTTTATAGTTTGCCAGGGACTCTTGTTTGTGAAAAGCAGACATTAAATGTAATTCTTAACGGCAGTCTTTGGGGGAGACCTATGTTCAGCAGCAGACTCAAACAGGCTTAAATGATCATAATAAAGACAATGGTTTTATTATATAACTTGGGATTGTAGGTAAATGTCAAAAAGTTATTATTGGTTGTCATGGTAACAACATGAAATTTGTGACGCTATTATGTATCACGCACAATGACTTTATATACAGTACAATACAAATACAACGTATATATGACAATATCGCACCGAAACTGAGCAAATTACGACAACTGATGTAATTGAGTAATCTGCAGTCTCTTTCCGCATCATACATTCTATATCATCAGTCTGTCACACTCACTAATAAACGTCATACAATGGAAAACATTTAAAAGCCTTACAGTCGACATGCGTCATCTTTATTAAAACATCACATCACCGATTGCGCATTGAAAAATTCAGTCCCATAACACATGACAAACGCGCGTATCCTCAAAAAAAAGCTGTCATACCATATGAACTCGCGACAGTGGCTGCAGAACGTGGGCTGGCGGAGGAATGTCGCCATGAACTTGTGCCCGTTGACCTGGTGGACTCGGCGCCGGAGTGCGCCCCTTCGGCGGGCGAAGCCAGCGCCCTCTTTGAACTCGCGGCCGCGATTCGCTCGCCCCTCGGACCCACCGCCAGCTTGAAGAGAATTAGAGCCAACGTAAGAGGCATTTCGGGCACATGTAATTGTTTGTTTTTTCATTGAGTTTATGTGATATTCGTCGCCAAAAGGCGTCTGCAACACCAACGTTGCAGTTGACGTTTAATAAAGTGCGGCTCGCTTTATTAAAACGGTGGCAACACATCTGCAACTCATCCGTCAGAGGAAACGCAAAAGTGTAACCTTTCAAGCATCGGGTACTATTTGTACACCATAAATAGTAATAGACTGACAAAACATTTTTTTCGTCATAATTTCTGTAACATTTGTAACCTAATTTACATTGAAAATTCAAGCCTCCAATTACCTATATTCAAGCCTCCAATTAATACATAAAACATAATGAATCTATGAAACATAATCTAGTCAGTTCCTATTGTTTTATTTAATGATCAGAATTTTTTTTCTTTTTATTTAGTTTTAGTAATCAATTTAATAATCAATACAAGTCAATAAAAAAAATATTTTAACAGGATTATAGACACCAAAATCTATACACCCTCTATAAGAGAACTTTTGTTGAATAATACAAGGAAAGACTAACCTTGAGAATTCCATTTCAGATCTATTTTAAGATGCAACTTCCCTTGTGGTTCTAGGTCGACCTGAAAATAATCATTAAATTAAAGAACATGTTAAACAATGATACAATAAATTGTTTTTTTTTTTTTACATAACTGAACCGATATCTAAAACTTGTTTCATGTGATTGTTATTTGACCACAGACTAAAAATTATTGTCAACCAATATGAAATAGTAAAAATTTAATTTAATGCATTCATAAAAAATATTACATATAAATTTTAAACTTTGCCACCTCTATATAAACTTTTATAAGGATTAGTATTTTAGAAAGATACCTCCTCAATAGCACTTTGCCAAAATTTTCAACATTGAAGTAGGTGATAGTCAACAATGTCTAATATATTATGTGACATGACATATCTAAGGCCTGTTTTGAGTTATGCTTAATGTATCTTATATTTGTAACAAACATATAACATGTAATAACCAGAAAATTGTTGCCTATTTCCAAAATAGGTCAGTGGGACAGTTAATTTATCAGCAACAATTGCCGAGTTATCATGTTGCTATATAAAAATGTTTCAAAGTCAAAGTCAAAGTATATTTATTCAATATAGGCCCAACTTAAGCTCTTATTGAACGTCAACAAAAATCTACCACCGGTTCACTAAACTAGACCTGCACAGAGAAGAACCGGCAAGAAACTCTGCAATCTTGTTCTTTTTGTTATATATATATATATTTTTTTATGCAATTATACACACTTATTTGGGTATAAAATCAGCAGCAGCCAGGGGTCTTGCAAGTGCAGAGCAAGAGTCATTTCCAAACATCCTTGTCCTCTATGTATTCTTGGATATTATAGTAGGCCCTTGCCATTAAGGTTTAAAAAAAACATACAAATCGAAGACTTTTTATGCTGTTCACAGGTCAACTAACTTTTAATGTTAAAAATATAGAAGGAAAACAGACGTTTGACTTGCAATGTCCCATCACTGAGTCATGTTTGATATAAACAGGATATAGAGGATGGTATGAATCAACAAAGGGAATAAAAATATCCATCCTTGGCACAAATAATGGTGTTGACTGACATTTTGTTTCAATGTATCATCAAATCAGATTAAAACAACTTCTTTCATTTCTTGGAAAAGCAAATGAACAGAAAGGGAGGTTTTAATTGAATTTTGTTTTTTTTTTATATCCAATTGATACAGAGTGTATCAATTGGTGTATGGATTGGAACCAATGGAAAAAAACAATAATATTTAAATGGAATGAATTTCATTTCTTAGACAGTGTGTGCCCACAGAATATAAATTTTCTTCATGTAGCTATTAAATACAAACCTAAATATAGTGAATAAATACCAATTTATGAAATTATATTAACACAAATTATTTTTTCAAAAGATAAAAAATTTAATGGTATTGATTTTACAAATTTAAAAATTATGGTATGTAAATAGAATAATACTTCAGGGTAGTCCGCAAATATTATTTATTCACTGGGGGAGTAACATATATATACATCATATACTAATTAATGTATAGAGTCCCATATACTCCTGTTAATTACTACTAAAAATTAAATATCAAACTGAAAATGTCAAAAAGTCTAAATATTATCTATAGTTGTTATAGTAGCTGTTACTCTATCTTATAGTTGGTGAGCTCTGTAACAATCAATATTATGTAAACTCACCCAAAAATCTGTGGCCTCTTTATCCCTATGCATCAGATCTTCAAAGGGTATGGTGCAATTTGCGACAAAATCATCCGGAGGTATGGCAGCATCATGAAAAACTGTGATACCCAAACTAAAAAATAGAGAAGAGTAAATGTATCAAATCTAGTACCTATATTCTTTTAAAACATGATGCACTCGATTATGGTGGTATGACATACCTAGTTACATTGTGAACTTCGTGTATGAAGGTCTCGTTCCAAACGGGGTCAAAGGTTTTGGGTTTTGTACTTGAACGGTCCAGATGGTGCTCGTCGGCGTCGATCGAGACGTACGGGTCTATCGGCTGATCGTCTGCGGAGATATCGCTTATTTACAAATAATACCAACACCCATTTTAGTAAACATGTTACGCCTCATTCATGCGCAAAAAACAAAATATATTTGTAGTATTTTAAAACTTTTACGCTTTTTAACTGTTTAGGATCCTGTAGCTTTGGATTATATTTATGTACGGACTAACCAGGTTTCCCGAAGGTCATGTTGTGCCGTTTCTGAAAGTCGGTCGGCCGGAGGCCCGTCGCCTCGCACACCTTCACGCGCACCGTTCCGCTGAACATGGTGCTGCCGACCAACGAGACGAGCCGTATCACCGAGACCGCGCCGCCACACGATCACTTCCACACGATAAACCCACTCAAAATCATTGAAGGTGCTTCATAATTGAAATAGAAATAAAGTTGACACTGATGAGATCGGCCATGGATGGATGGATATTTTCTCTATGGTTTTTAATGGATTCCCATTTTACTCGATTGGTGGAAAAAAGATGTTGCTTTTGGTTTTTTAAATTCCCTTAATACACGTTCCGTAACGTAACATAAGTAATTTGATCATAGCTGTGATAAATATTTTTATAGATCAATTTTATTACAATTGCAATTGTAACTTTAAAAATGCAAAACATTCTAATCTAAATATCCTCTTGTATGTGTAACAGACATATCTGAAATCAAAAACTGAGTTTGAAAAGTAAGCGTAATGTACGTAAATAAAAGAAAAGGGTTAATTTTAGAATTCGAAAAACAATTACACGATGTAAATTAAATAAACCATATATTTTGATATTTTTTATGTTATATTATGTCTAGTTTTACATCAATAATAATGCATTTATATTTTCACAGCTTTTTTGTTTATTAATTTCTGTTTGCTCGGTGGCTTTGACAACTTCGCTGAAGGAAGTTCACAGGCAGATGATCTGCAGACACAGGAGAATAACTTAACCGGTGCACGACATCAATTCAACGAAGAATTCAACAGAATTACTTGCAATAAGGATTGACTCCAAGTGGTAATGGGTAGTGTATAAAGTGAAAGTTCAGAAAGTTTAAAAAGCGATTTCTTGGTATATGTATCTTCTTCTTCGTGGTCTTCATTACTGAAGGTCGTGTCCGTCCCGAAAATTTTTAAGTGAGTCGCCGACGAGCTGCTTCCACACCACTCTATCACACTTGGTCACATCACCGCAGGCAGCCGGATAATTTTGAAAAAGTAGTTGTAGTTGGGAAAGTGGATGGTATATGTTTACTTATATATAACTTATAAAATAGGTCATCACATCCACAAACGATAAATCGTAAATAATGTTAAAAGATTTTGTTAAAGGGTCAATTCCATGTTTTTAATTTTCTCTATATATACATTAAGGACAATATGTGTAAAAATTACTCGTGAATTAACTGTTTTGGTAATTTATTTTTCGTAAACAATTATTCGACGTTAAGTTACGTGTCATCATTAAATCGCAATTTCGTTTTGTTTAATGGCGTATAAAAAAGATATTTTGTATACGGTAAAACAGGAACAAGACAATTCTAAAAATAAATCTTCATATCAGTGTAGCCCTGATAAGAACTCTAAGAAACAAGGTAGCAGTAGTTCTGAGAAGAGCAGTAGCTCCATCAGAGGGGCCCTTCTGAGGGATTGATTCTTGTCCTACTCTTGATAGTCGAATTGTCCGTTTTTCATTAACATGGGTCGCGGATAGGCAGTTGTAGTGTAATGGACGAGCTATCTCTTTTGAATCCGTGCGACGTCTGACTATGGACATTCTGTTCCTTCAAAGGTGTTAAAGCTAAACCATTAAAAATCATTTAAAACGAAACCACAAAAAACAGCATCATTTATATTCTAGTTCCAGTGAACATCTAACGATGGCGGTGTTCTGAGTTTCGATCTTAGGTATCAGATACCTTTGGGATTAAAATAGCTTAGTAAAACGTGGATAGTATTAGATATCTATCAAAAAATTCTGCCAATTGTGAGCCGGACTCAAGTACGTAGGGTTCCGTACCATTATCTATAAAAAAGGCAAAAAAATCATGTCTGTTGTATGGGTGCCCTATTTAAACATTTTTTTATTCTATTTTTAGTGTTTGTTGTTATAGTGGCAATAGAAATACTCTGTGAAAATTTCAACTGTATAGCTATCACTGTTCATGAGATACAGCCTACTGACAGACTGCAGATTACGGAGTAAAGGGTCCCGTTTTATCCTTTGGGTATGGAACCCTAAAAACTACCATAAAAAAGTTTTATTCTTTAACTGTAGCTCTATAATCTGCGTGATTCACGTTGCAATCAATAGTTGTAATAACATTAGTTTGTATTATATACTCTGTGCTGTTAGCCGATGGTGAATTATCCAAATTTTTGTCTGCTGGTTCAAATTTACATTTTATTTTATTTGACATCTGTCAAAGATTGAAGATCTATGATGCATTAATGGATTTAATGAAAATAAAATGATGAATTAGACACTCTTTGAACTGAGTTTTAATTTATTTTACTCAAAATATAAGATGGGCTTCTTAACGATTTTAAAGAAATTAAGACAAAAGGAGAAAGAAATGAGGATTCTTATGTTGTATCCTTTTTTATAAACTATAATTTTTCAGTTCTATCGACAAATTTTCTTAATTAACATATCAGAGGTTTGGATAATGCAGGTAAGACGACAATACTGAAGCGATTTAATGGTGAGCCGATTGATACAATATCTCCAACTTTGGGCTTTAACATAAAAACGCTGGAACATAGGGGATATAAACTAAACATCTGGGATGTCGGCGGCCAAAAATCCTTAAGGTAAAATCTTTTTACTTTTTATATTTCTCTATAAAAAGAGAAATATAAATAAAATAAACCTAAAATCCACATATTTAAGTTCCTTCATGTAAACAAAGGAAGTTATAAGGTTAGGAAGTTATAAACTAGCTGTTATCTATAACTTCAATTTGTCTAAAATTCTTGTATATCTTTGACAAACTTTCAAACATTTTTGCTAGTTTAACTATAAGACAAGAGCTCTCATTGGAAATTTTGTCTTGATTGCTATTATGGTATATAATATGACATTATTCAAATTTATATCAACAGTTACTTCTTGAAGTAAAGTTTTGAAGAAATACTTAATGTGCTGTAAATATTCTTAATGCTTCCCTTATATCTTCCAATTTTATCTTGAAGAAAACAGACTAGCAGTCTTTTAAAAGCTCTTAAAACTATTAGTATGTAATAGATCATTTAGAAATTGTTTAAAGGTTTTATTTTATCCATTCTTGAACTTATTCATGCTTTGAATATCAATATTCTGTGGTAGGTTGGTCAGCTACTAGGCCTGCACTTAGATGATGTTTGTTCTATTTATTTATTATTTTTCTTGCTCGAGTTACTATTGGCTATAAAATAAAGATATTTTGGTGAGGTACATAAGAAAATACTGTTATGAACATATTTTATGAAATAGTAGTGGTAAATTATCTACAGGTCATCCGGACCGATTTGTACTGTTTACACTCTTTCTCTTACTCAAAGATTTTCAAAGACATTTCTAACTGAATGTTTCAACAAATATTATTAGATTAGTCATGATCTTTAAGGTTAATTTTTTTGTGAGGTTTATAGTAAGCCATTACTTTTTTTAATGAAATCTATTAGGTCGTACTGGAAGAACTACTTTGAGAGTACAGATGGTGTGGCATGGGTTGTGGATAGTGCTGATGCTAGGCGTTTAGCGGACTGTGCACGTGAACTACACTCTCTGCTCCGTGAGGAGAGGCTGGCAGGAGCTACATTGCTAGTACTTGCAAACAAAGCTGACCTGCCTGGCGCTCGCACTCTGCAAGAGATAAGAGAGGTTCATAAAACTCAATATTAGTATAACTATGTAAGTTCAAGACTTTAATATAAGTTTTTCAACCACATTTCCCTTTATTAACAGGCTCTAGACTTAGACAGCATTAAGACTCATCACTGGCGTATAGTTCGCTGTTCTGCTGTCACCGGTGAAAACCTGCTCGAGGGAATGGATTGGATGTTAGATGACATTGCTTCACGGATATTTACACTAGACTAATTAACTTATAATATTTATTACTCTCCAAAATTTGGGTACTAATATATCATTAATTCGTAATGATTTTATAAATGTAACAATGTTAACTAAATTTTGTATGGCAAACCTTATTCAGGCTTGCACCAAAAATAGTATAACTTAAATATTCGAAGAACATTATTAAACTTGGCGTGCAGTCTTTAGATAATGTTTAAAATGAAGTGTTTGTCAATGATGAATGTGGTATTATTTGTTACACATTGTAGGTATTTAGTTGTGGCTTTTTAATATCATATTATAAGACTGTAGACTGTGTTGCTATAACTTATAAATTGTTAATTTAATTTCTAATATTCCAATTCCATTAAGATCCAGTGTTTAACTTGAGGTCTGCTTGGTATCAAGCATAATTGTAGCTTTGTAGCATTGTAACATTGACTTATAATCTATACAAAAGACTATCATAAACTTGTTTATTGTAATCTATAGACTGTGTACAATTCAAAATAATTTCAAAATATAATCAACAAAAGACTGGTGTATTTGTATTTCTTGAAGTTTGGGTAGTAAGTTCTGATGACCAGTGCAACTTATAAGATCTATTGTAGTGTTTCCTTCAAAAACATTGCTCCTTACTGCTTTGTAAGGAAATGTTATATACATAAATTTTACATGGACAAACACCCAGAAAATAATAATTATCTGAGGGTTACACAAATAGTTCTTTTGTGTTATAATTGGACCCAAGACCCCCTACGCCAAACTCAATACCTTGGCAACTGCGTCACAGGGTCATCAAAGGCTTGTGTAAATTATACAATAATTTCTTGCTATTCAAAATTTTGTTTACAATGCAAAATCATTTTCTTACAATAATTTAATCAATTGGTACTTCACCAAGAACATTCTACATTCATTGTATTTTATACATGAAAAAGCTAAAAATTAAAAGATTTGTCAATGTGTGATTTTAATTTATTTCTGCTTTATTAAACTTTTCTACTAACACATGAGTTTCATTTGATTTCACGTATAAAGATACTTATGAGTATGATATATTAAAAATTTATTTACTGTAGATGATTCTTATTTTGTTATACACATTGATAAAGGTGTATGTAACTAAGACTGCCAACAATCCTTTTGTGATTCCAATTGGCTTTACTCAACACTAGTTTCAAGAAAATATATAATAAGACATTAACTAGGCTTAGTATAACCCTTTAATGAGTATAAAGATTCCGTAAAATTTCTTATTTTTAATCAATTAAACTTCATTCTTATTAGATTATAGCATTTTTAGTTGTCAGGGATGGATGAAAAGAAATTGAATGAGAATTACAACTACAATTTACAGAAAATCTGCAGTAAATGTTAGTTACAATAAATATTATAGGTTTTGAGTCTATTTGTAGTTGAGACTTTATCTATGTCAGGGGATGAGCATCCAAATGAATAAGACAGGAGCCCTCCTGTCTTATACAAAGCTTGAATCTAACATTCTCTCATGCATCTGAAGATATGTAACTGTTGCTAAACAGAGACAAAATGCATAAACTTTACTTATCTTTTATGACTTGGGCCTAATTATTAGTTAGATAGTGATGAATAAGCACAGAAGTCGAGTAAGAGTGTTTCCCATTGCATTTATTGATACAAAATGTTACTACCGTTAACATCATGATTCAAGTTATGTAGTAGATAAATTTATTATTTTGAGTTCCGCTATTTCTCTAAATAAGCAGACTGAAGCTTTTAGGAATGTTCAGAGTTTTCTACTGGAAACTTATCATCATCAGTATTGTGTGTATCATGGTTTGTACTATATTCTCTTGAATCCAAGTCCTTTGGTTCCTCTGTCTTGACCAAAACATCCTGTGCTGTAATAGAAGCATCTTCTGTTGTAACCAAAGCTTCCTCTGTGTCAACCGTTTCTACCTCTGTTGTTACCGATGGTTCCTCTGTTGTAACTGATGGTTCCTTTGTGGTAACTGATGGTTCCTCTGTTGTAACCAATGGTTCCTCTGTTGTAACCAATGGTTCCTCTGTTGTAACCAATGGTTCCTCTGTTGTAGCCAATGGTTCCTCAGTTGTAACCGACGGTTCCACTGTTATTACCATCAGTTCCTCTGGACCATCTACCATCGGTTCCTCTGGACCATCTACCATCGGTTCCTCTGGACCATCTACCATCGGTTCCTCTGGACCATCTACCATCGGTTCCTCTGGACCATCTACCATCGGTTCCTCGGTTACAGAAACTTCCTTTGTTGTTACTGACACTTCATCTGTTGTTACTAAAGCATCCTCCTCTGCATTTGTTTCCATTTGGTTTTCATCTTTTACTGAAATATGTACATATTTTAAAAAATTTAAATCACATCTTGACCCACAACAAAATACCTTAAAGTATAAATTTATGATGGTGTCCAACAATTTTTATAGTTATGAATTTTAAATTTAATTGTCTTAACTGCTTTCAGTAAGCAAATGAAATCTATTAAAACATTTTTTTAAATATGGTGTATCTTGATTAGTATACTTACCATTTTCTTCTCGAGGTTTCTCTGTGCTAATTTCTTCTTCATGTCTGTCATCTCCATCGCTATCTTCTTGCTCATCAACATCCATGGCAAACTTATTCCTTTTACTGCCTTTGTCTTCTTCCTCATTCTTTACTGTCGCTTCTGAATGAACACTTTGCACTGCTTTCTCTTTCTCTGCATGTAAATTTTCAGGATCATTTTCTTTTGTTCCCGGGATACGTGTCCGTAGGCACCTCTGCTCAATTCGTTGTAATTCTTCTTGAAGCTCTTGACGTTTCTTGACCATGTATCCTACAAAAAAAATGAGAAACTTTACCTTCATCAAAAGAAATTCAAATAAGTATATTTTAATTATACATTTCGAGTGTTTACTTATTCCTAGGTCCACATTTATATTAATTATGAGGCAAATAATTCATAACTAATCATTTTATTCATTATTTTAAGAATCCACTAATTTGGGAATACTAAAGCTCCAATAATGATTTGTTATTAGGGATTCATAGTTCATAGAACACATATTTCTCAACCAGGCCTATCTCCCTTTATATTTTTACTATAATAAATCAAGAAACAAAAATTATAACTCTACTCACTGCGGTACAAAGGACCATACTTAGCTGTAAATTAAAGAGAAACATTTCTCATATTTTTAATATACAAATAAGCATACTACCTGCCACTTAAACTTAAATATATAAAGGAAATTATCTAAGCCTCAAAGAAAGACATTATTATTAATATGATAACTAAGAAATTAATTTATATTACACTAATAATAAATTATGGTCTAAAAGAAATTGCCTCTAAAAGATTTTCAACTTCCCAATTTCCTATACAACGCATAATTTAGATATATTTTTCAAATAAGAATTGAGTATGAAATTCTAATACTTGTACATAAATCTGTAAATTCATATACATACCTTATTTTGAAGAATCTAGCTAGATCTTATTGTTAAATTCATTATGAAATTTAATTAATACATTTTAATGTAGAAATATATCAAAATTTAATGTTTGCTAAAACAAGTATCTAAATTTATATTATAAAATTACGGTCAAAAAATTTAAAGGATTACTTACTTTCATGGAATTTTCTACTTGAATCCAACTTTTCAGTTGCTTTATCTGTCATCCTTTTTGGTAGCCAATAGATATGTGGTCTTGTTTTTGTTAAAATAAAGTTCGCAAGGTTTTTCTGGGACGCTTCCCATTTCTCAAATTCCTGGACACGGGCCATTTTTGCTTCTAATGCTTTGATGGTAGCCTTCTTGCTTTCTCTTTCAGCAAACAATGTTTTTCTCTCTTTCTGCTCGCGTTCTTTTTCCAATCGGGCCTGTTCTTCTATTTTACGTTCAACCAGTGCTTTCTTTTCTTCCTTAAATGCGAAATGGATACATGTAATGAAAATGCTACAAAATGTTTAATAAAATTTTTAAAGGGCTGTGTCATGTTGTTGCTATTACAGTTCTGGTCAAACTAAACAAATCACACTTGCAGGTTTAATAAACAAGCAGGGTACTGACTATGGTTTTGTTTTATGTGAAACGGATAGTTCTGTAGAACAATGTTCAAAAAGTCAAAACTGGATAGTCAAAAAGTACACTCTTACTTTAGTTTGTAAAACAATTTCCTCTTGTTTGAACTTCTGCAAAGTTCCAAGCAGTGAACCAAATATTCGACGGTTTCTTGTTCTAGCCTGTTCATCACCACCTTGTGCTCTAAGTACTGCTGCTCTTGTTGGCAGCTCACGGCTCACGGCTGATGGGACTTTTGCTCTTTTGATACCTGGGGCATCATCTTCACCATCACTATCTGGTTGTCTTGCTGATAACCTTAAAGCAATGATAAAACTTTTCAACCTTGATTTTTAACATATACCCTTCAGTGTTGAGGTAAGAAGATAAATAAATAACTAAATACTGATGCATTTAATTTAAGACAGTCAAAGAATTTGTTGAATCTAAAAGGAGTTTTGAGGTATAGCATAAATTCAGTCGAGTCAGAGACGTAGCATTCAAACTGCCGACTAATCTGTACTATATTTTGAAAAGCTCTTATAGGCTTATGGGGCCCACGAACATTTCTGTTAATTATTAATACATGGTGAACTTTTTTATATCATGTATTAAAAACAATTCAATTTCTCTCAACTTTTCTAATCACAACATGAAAAAGAGGGGATTCCGCCGATGCCCATATTAACTTTAGCTACGTCGCTGCATATTTTTTACTAAATCACTCTTCCAAATGTGCAGATAGAAAAAATGTGATAACTATTTACAAGGTCCACGTAAAATGGTTGGAAACGTAATCTAAATGACATGTTTAGTCACACCAAAACGTTAAACATACCTGCTGAATACGGTTTTAGTTTCAGTTTTTCGTTTACCAAATAATTGTTCTTCATTTTTGTGGTTTTTAAAATCTGCAAAGGAATTCCTTCCACCTAATTGTTGTCCACCCCTTGCGTAATGTCCAGCTGGATTGAACCTATAAACAAAATACAATTACTCAACCTAATACAATTGAATACGAATAACAAAATTATAAATGATTACTGATTGTTTTTTAACTAACCTATCGTTTGGAAACCTTCCGGAAGTTTGGACGATTTTTTTAATATTTTCATCTATTTTAAACAAACTGCTTCTCTCATTTTCTAGTTGAGTACGTAATGAATTAAATGATATTGCTATTTCTGTCCCCATATTATCAAAATTCACTTCAATAATTATCACGGAACATTAATACAGCGGAATACTGATTACTGCCTTAACATTTACAAGTTTTGGGTTTCGATTAGTTTTGGTAGGACAGAGTATGATAATTAACACAGCATCGTTAAACAATACACAGATAATAAAAGCTGTAGGCGGCATAATTTAAATTTTTTTTATTATATACCACTGTAAAATTGATTATTTATTTTCATAAATGAAACATGTAAAATATTATTTTTATATGTAACTAGTGACCCGCCCCGGCTTCACGCTTGTGCAATGTATTATAAACCTTCCTCTTGAATCACTATATCTAGTAAAAAAACCCGCATAAAGATCCGTTGGGTAGTTTTAAAGATCTAAGCATACCTACATAGAGATAGACAGAGAGCGGGACGACTTTGTTATATACTATGTAGTGATAGTGATAATTTCAGATTTACAATAATCGGTAAAAGATGACAATTTAAAAACCTTAAGATTTAACTTTAAATTAAATTATTCGTTGGCGCAATTGTTAACGTACACTAAAACTTTTCTGGGAGCAGGGCCGCTGACCATAGATTCGATAGTTACTCGGAATAAGTATTTGAATGACTCACAGGATTCACAGGAATAAAGGTTATGCGGGGTGAAATTACTATATGGAAAACGTTTTTTGAGAAACAAAATGTGTATAATTTAGTGAAGTCTTATAGAAGAAAAGATCAACTTCTTAATATAATAACATTTTGGCATTGTTAAGGACAGTAACTGATAGACCTAATAGTACTTTAGTTCGATCTTAGAATAACATATATTTTATACATATTTGGGGCCGGATATGTTGATAAAACATCCCGTGGCCCCTTCATCTTGTTTCTGAAATAGGTGACTGTTGGTCAATAATATAACTTCCAGTAATTAAATGGCGTATATTTACAAATGGTTTGACTTATTATACTGGACGTTAAGGCTATCCGATGGCACAGTATCTGCTATTGTTGCAATAAAAATCTGTGAGCCATAACGGACCAGTCTGCTCTTTCAGATAGAGAGTACCCTTTGGTCTCATAAGACGCACGTCAAGTGTGAACCTCCGTGAAAAAGAAAACGCGTCGACGGCGTATATTATGAGTAAGCTATAATATGTGGGTTAAATCGAGTACTTGTTCCTTAAAAGTAACAGTGTTACAAAATAAAAGCCTGCTATTTCATACTAGGTATGTTGTCACAATTTGTGTAACTGTTACCATAACAACAGCTGTTACACTGTTAGCCTTTTTTTCTTGTTTACGTGGGGGAAATGCATACGCATACCCTCCCGCACAGTGGCAAGAGATTTTTATATACATATACGGATTTTTATATACATATACTCGCACCGACTAAAACCCCCACGATGTTCCACCTAGGCGCATATTGGCAGGGTCACGGGAACGCTTTCGCACACTTTCATGCCACTGCTCACGCTGGCCGCCTCAGCAACCCCCTTCCGGGAAGCAACTCCCCTTTCCTGCAGGTAAGGCGCGGTGGAACATTCAGCGCGCCTTCCTATTTGGCCCCATTTGCAAGGCCAACGAACTCCGCCGAGTTCGCTGACCGGGGCCATGGGAGCCAGGAGAGCCAGTGCTAATAAGCAGCAAGCCTCCCAGCCCCCAGCGGCGGGCCTGGTCGGTGGCTCCGCCGCTCACCACGTTTCGGCCGCAGAGGGTAGGGAGAACGGCGCATCGCAATACCGACATGCCCCACCACCCCTGCATCAGTGGTGCAGCTCCGCCGAGTCGCGGAGGATAGGGAGCGCGGCCAACGCAATACCGACACTCCTCTTCCCCCGTGACTCCTCCTTGGTAGCAGAAGACAGGGAGTGTGGCTCCACCTCTACCACCCTTGAGCTGTCCCCTGCATCCTCCAGCACGCATCGAGAGTGGGCTTAAAGAGACCACATGGAGCGGCCCTCTCGGGCCGGCTTTACACCATAGGTCGGCCCAGTGTGGGTTCCTCTTAGCTTCGCCGTGGGTGACCAAGCCCACGGCTACTAAGCCCCTCCGCCACATCAAGGCGGGAACCCGGTCGGAGGGGACATATGTTATCATATGGTAACGTCCGCACTTCTTTTTCTAAGAAAGCTATAAGACCCATGAAAGTGAGAGAAAGTGTAACAGTTACAGTGTTCAGTAACTGTGACAAGGTCTATCAGTTTGTATCTCTTTCTAAGGTAACAGTTGTAAGCAACAATATAAAAGAAAGCTTGTGACAGCGTGTTAAGGAGCAATTTGTGTGAAACAGGAACTGTTATTTAGGTTTGTTCGTAACAGGTACAGTCTATTATCTCGAGATACCTGTTATTTTTACCTATAACGATAAATACGCCTCACTCCTACTGTATATTCTGTAAGCTCTAGGATTAGTTATAATAGTATTTTTAGCAAAAACCAAGGAATTGCTCGTGCAGGCCTTAATTTTCTCTGTAGTTGATTATGGTGACGTGTGCTACTTTGACCTGAATGCAGATCTCCTCAATAAACTTGACCGACTTCTGAATAACAGCATTCGATTCGTTTTCAATCTCCGCAAGTATGACCATGTATCCTTTTACCGTGATCAACTTCAATGGCTACCTATACGTCAATGACGTTCCCTAAAAGCACTGACTAGTCTTTATTCTTTCCTGAACCCTCCTTCTACTCCGACTTTCTTATCCCATCATTTTCAATATCTGTTTGCAGGCAGCAACAAAAACCTTCGAAAATCGTCTTCTTGAATGTCCTTCTCACCGTTCTGACTTCATGCACTCTTCTGTCTTTATCGAGTCTATCCTTCTGTGGAATGCACTGCCTCTCGAAATCAGGTTGGCTAAAAGTCGCTCTGTATTTAAAAACAAAGCTCGTGGGCAAATTTTCAAAAACTTGTAGATCAATTCCATCGTTATGTTTAGGCTATATTTATATATATATATATATATATATATATATATATATATATATGTACATGTATTTATTTATACAGCAAGTCGTTACCATCGCGACAATAAATGAACACACGTGTAACGCTATTTGCCAATAATAAAAAAAAATCCATAATTAAAAAAAATATTTTTCAAACAAACTAATTAAGTAATAAACAAACAAAATTTGTAACATCCTATACAACTGCAACTGACTGATTCATACATTCAGAGACTTTTTCATTTGTTGCTATAGCGTCGCATTACAAGCCTCTCCTTCTAACAGTATGTTTTGTCTCTTTTAAATTCATTCAACCGATTCATATGCTTTGTGACCTTTACAAATGAACTTTACGTTACAGTTTTATACGTATGGATGTTCTAAAATTCTTTGTTTTGGAAAATTAAATAACTCTGTAAATATTGATGTTTGAAGAATGTAAATATGAAAGAAAGAAAGAAAGAAAATAAATTTATTTACCAAAAAAGGACGCACACAACAAAAATTTAAAAGAAAATAAAAGAAATGTTGAAAAAAAATGAAAATAATACACACAAGAGTAAAGAAAACAAAACAAAATCTGTACATACAAAGAACTATGGCGATATAAATCAAAAGATAAATAAATCAATTTAAAGGAAAAAAATTTTACGCCCTATTATCGGTAAATTAGGTCAGCACTCAGCGTTATGCTGTGCCGGAAGTCAACACCCCAACTCAGCGCTGATTTTCAGTGCTAACCTTCATACTTCATGATAGTCCGATTCGATGCCGTACTGACCCATATGCAGCAATATAATAATCTTATAATAGTTATAAAAAAATATATTAAGATGTAATAATAAAATACTTTACTAAACTTTACTAATATTTAATACAATTTTAAAAAGTTATCCTCTATATGTGTGTTCATTTATTGTCGCGATTGTAAAGACACGCTGTATATGTGAGTATGTATTACGTATATTTTGTAGTATATTTCTTATGTTGTATATAATTTAGTACTGTATAATTTAACATATGCATATTACATAGTTTGTAAATATTAGCGTTTTCCTTGTTGGAAATCTCTCTGTGCACCTACCTTATTTTCTCTGTACCACCCCAAGGTTGACTGGGAGATAATGCTTTTAGCATTAAGTCCGCCATTGTACTATTTGTGCATTAAGGGTAAATAAATAAATAAATAGAGTTATATATTAGGGTCATTTGTATGGAATGTGAGATATAAGAGATAAGGAGAACATTGTCCGCGTATAAAGTGTCCTTCGTAGCGTTAGCGTAGCATGTGGGTGTAAGGTAGTAGTGAAGAAACAGGTTTTAACACAGCAAGGACAATAATACCTTAAGAGAAGCGATTTATTAAAGAAAGAAGAAGACAATAATCCCATACCTTTGCGATAGCACTCTTCTGGTGTGTTTTTGAACCGTTAAAAGCTAGGGACTTGCAACATATCCCCCGTGTAATTGAATAAGTTCGTCCATAAATTCGTGTAATGTCATACGCCGCCGGCTTACAAAGTTACAGCGCTCAATGGATTTGGAATGAAAGATATTGTTTATGGGTTTGGCTCGTTTTTTTAAGTACAAAGTCTATGTGGGTGGGTAAACCTAAAAGTAAAATCTGACATAAATACGAAAATTTAAATTCCAAATCTCTGCCATTTCCCGGACAGGATTAATATAAACAGGAAGTGCTCGTTTTTTACGAACGAATTATTTATTTAAGCATTACACATTAATGGATATAAAAGTAAAGTATATAGTACGTAAAGTAAGCCTATACATATCATTGCTGGGTAGAGGCCTCCTCTGTACAGAGGGTTTTAGGGCATATTCCATTACGCGGCCCAACTGCGAATTGGCGCACTTCGCGTATCTTCAAAATATTTTGTTTGTTATTATTTGAAAATAGATTTCTTCACGATTTTTCCTTCACCGCTAAGCATGTGATGAGTCAGCACTTAAAATTAACAATTTCATATTTGCCGGTTCTGTCGATTGAACTCCGGTTGGTTGTTGAGTATATTGAATTAGAGGTAAGCGCTCGGCCATTGGCTA